GTATGAGAGTGAGTTTAGTCTGTATTACAAGTGTAAGGGTTGCTATAGGGTGTTTTTAAGGGTTGTTATAGTATGTAATGTTAATGGGAATATGGTATATAATGGTAGGGGGTATGTGATTTGTGGGTACTAAACTGAGGGGAAAACAACTGAGAGGAGAGCCTCTTAAATACACAAAGGGTGAGGGATTTTGGCTCCAAGGAAGCAAGAGAATGAAAGATTTAGCTGGGCCAGAGCTTTACAATGAGGGGATTTAGCTAGTCAGGACATGTACATGAGGTATTTTGGCTGTTTGAGCGCCTTAAATGATGCCATAAGAGTCATTTTAGCTTGGAACTAGAAGTCTACATGAGGGTTTTATCGCTGGTGTAGCATGCTACATGAGGTGATTGGGGCTTTGATAAACGCACGCCAGCCCCCCTGGCGCACGCCAAACCGCACGCCAGGTGGGGATTGGCGTGCACGCCTGCACGCCAAAGAAAATTGGCGTGCGGGCCCGCACGACAATCTACAGAGTGTAGACCGGCGTGCAGGCCTGCACGCCAAGGATTCGCCGCCGTCCCATTGGACCCAGGCATGGGTCCTATGGGAAGGCCCCTTTTTTCATTTGATTTGATTTGATTTGATTTCTTTTTTTTTTTTCAAATCCCCTCGGCCTAAAGAGGCCGAGGTCACACCGCCGGGAGGAACCCCTCCCGGCAAGCGTATGTACACGCCAGCTTGTCGGGAGGGGTTCCTCCCGGCGAGCTGGTTTTATACCAGCTCGTCGGAAGGGAATACTTCTGACGAGCTTGTACACCATCTCGCTCGACGGAAGTGATTCCTACGAGCTAGCTGCTATATATACCAGCTCTTCAGAAGGGAATCCTTCCGACGAGCTGGTACATTACCAGCTTGTCGGAAGGGTTTCCTTCCGACGAGCCGGTGTGACCTCGGCCTCATTAGGCCGAGGGGATTTGAAAAAAAAAAAAAAATCTAATCTAATCAAATGAAAAAAAGGGGGCCGTCCCATAGGACCCATGCCTGGGTCCTATGGGACGGCGGCGAATCCTTGGCGTGCAGGCCTGCACGCCGGTCTACACTCTGTAGATTGTCGTGCGGGCCCGCACGCCAATTTTCTTTGGCCTGCAGGCGTGCACGCCAATCCCCACCTGGCGTGCGGTTTGGCGTGCGCCAGGGGGGGTGGCGTGCGTTTATCAAGCCCCAGGTGATTGTACTAGTCTAAAACTAAGATGGTGTGATGAAGATTACATGAGTGGTGTGAGATAGTCTGACAGCTGCAAGGAAGAATAACAAATGACATGACAACCTGCATGATGTCACCTGTAAATCCAGAGTGGTACTACACTAACACTGCATGTGTCAATATGTCAGAAGATAGTGAAGTGGTGTGTATACTTATGTACTGTGCTGGTGAGAGAGTGTAGTTGTCCTGTAATGTGCATATGTATAGTGTGAGATATGTAATTGTTGATTTGTTGGTGGTGATTGAGTGTTGACATGTTGTTGAGGTGTGTAAGTGAGTGGTGTGAGAGTCCAGAGGGTGTAACTTCCAATCCAATTGAGTTCCAGTGACGCCTCCAGTGGTGACCCAGGGTGAAATTGAGTGTAGAATCCATTTCTTGAGCCATATTGAGCAATTTTTGAGTGTATGTAGAGGAAAAAAGAGGGATAAAAAAGAAGAATAAAAAACTTTGAATTTTTACACATTCAGCTACCACACCGCAACCGATGATTCAGTTTTGCCCTGTAATTCATCATCACAACCCCAATATGCCCTCCCTTATCACCATGTAAGAAACTTATAAGTCTGTTGAGCCAAAATAAAGGTTCTCTGAACCCATAGATAGCCCATGTTGGCCTCTGCCCCAGTACAGAGATATCCGGCCGGATGCCGGATCTCCAAAACACAGTCCCGAACCCGGATCCAGCATTCCGGGTTTCCGGATCTCACCGGATGTGTGGGGTCCGGATCAGAACCTTACACCACCAGAGCACTTTATGCTCCTCCGGGTTAGCACCCCAACGTCGGATGTTTACCCGCGGGCTGCCGTGCATTTGTCAGTCGACCCACAGTTGGGTTGACCACCCCGTCTGAGCGTCGTAGGTAACATCGTCAGTATGACCCCACGGCCAGCCCGCCGGAGATTCTGCTGTCGGAGATGACCCAACGGTCAGTCTGCCAGTATTCATGCAGGCAGGGTTGACCCAGCGGTCAGACCGCTGCAGACTATGCAGTCGAGGCCGACCGGACAGTCATACCAACTGAACGCACTCAGTCGATACTGACCCGACAGTCAGGACGCTGCCATTGATGCCGGCGGGGTTGACACAACTGGCATCCCGACCGGAGCACCTGAATATCCAGTCAGCCGCTGGAGACCTGGTTTGACAGCCCTGGCAGACGAACCTGACACCTGTCTAGCTGAGGCCATCAATTCCTTTCAGGATGTGATTGGTCAGGATGACCGGTGTGCAACCGCCGCGCCGACGTCAAGGCTACCATTGGTAAGTTAATTTTTGACTCTATCAGAGCCAATCTTTTCAGCCAAATGCTCGAGAAAAGTTGGTCTTGAAAAAAAAAAAAAATTGAAAATACAAATGACTTAGAGAAAAAAAAAATGCCAAAATGCAATGATGCGGGCCTATCAAATGAAAATCTTATGGAATTATCAATCTGCTACAGTGCAGTGGTGAAAAGAACCATTAGTGAAGCCTGGGAGCTAATCAAGGCCCCTGGTTCGACTCCTCACAGGAGGCAGTCTTTTTGATGGATTCAATAGCTGAGACTCCGAGTCCAGTCCGGACCCCATTTTTTTGTCTGGATTGATCTCTCACAGCATCATAGCATGTGTCAACCTCGTTGCCGGGAAGGTGATGTTGTTTGAGACCGATGACAGCCATGCAGGCGGCGTGACCGCAACGGAAGGTCGGCGCGCCTGCAGGACCGTGAATCCATAATCTCAGGGGGTCTCAGACCCCTGAGACAATTATCTATATGCAGTCGGGATGACCCATTCCGACGCACTGCCTGCCCGGCAGACATGGGTCGAATCGCTGACCTCCCCGCCTCCCTGGCCGCAAAGCTGCCTAACTGACGTCGGCAGACAGGAAGGTTTGGCTGGGTCGGGGGCGGTCAGTTTGCCCAGCAAAACCCTCGACGGATTTCCGTTGAGGTGCTCCCGTGGTGTACTCTCTGGCTCTTACATTCTCTTCCTTGTCTGCTGATGCTTGTGGGAAATCTCCCATGGTTGATTGTAGCATGCTGCTTGAATGCATTGAGTAGCAGACAGATTCAAATTCAATTTTTGTGATGCAAATTTTGCTTGTTCCACATTGGAAAACAGTGGTTGAGCCATCTCATTTTTTGTTATTTTGTTGGAAGTGAATGGCATGTCTACAGAAATAGTGGTTTTCCCAATTGGTTTTGCCATAATTGCTTTTTTGTGAAGGAAGTGAAGGGGGTTGGAATCCAGTGGGTGCAGAAGCAGACTTTTTGATGCCCAGGATTCCTCCTGCTTGAAAATATTGTGTAAGCTTGTTGACCAGGAGTAATTCTTCCTGGACAGTGAGGTTCTACAACCTTGTGGACCAGGGGAAGACCATCTTTCAGAAAGGCTATAAAATCTTTACCACCAGGAGGAATCATGTCTTATTGACAAGGTTGTATCAGGTTACTGACAAGAAGGGATTTATTCTGTTCAAAAAGGTGGTTGTATGTACAACCCAAAGCAAAACCTCATGGTTGGCAAGGTTCAATCAAATGATCAACCAAGCTGGAAATTTGATGGGAAGGCTAAAGGAAGAGAAAGATGCAAGTTCTTTTGTGAGAACTGACGAGGTGTCAGAACTTGACCACCGACACGAGTGAGCAGCAAAAGAAGATCAAACCTGAAACAAACATGAAAAGAAGAGAATGAGCACGATAGAATGAATGATATGAATGAAAGATGAAAAATGGTTCACACCTGAACGTCCGCGACAAGATGAATGAGATGAAATCGAGTTGAGCAATGAGAGACAAGTAGAAGTATGAAAACTTGAATGAAGAAATGAAATACCACTGAATGAAAGGAAGTTGAAATAGTCCCGTCTACATTATTTTTCAACCTTGTCTATCACCATTGCCCAGTCCCTGTTCCCCCTGTTGTGCGCAGTGATTCAGATAGTGAGCATCTGTACCTGTGACATGTCAATAAAGGCATCCCTCAGGCAGTTCAGTTGTGGGTGGGGACTTTGGACCACAGCCCAAAAAGGACATGGAAATCTGGGTGCAAAGTGGCCATCTCTATTGCAATCACTATTTGTTCTCTGTCGAAGTCCATTAATAGAGAGGATTTAAAGAAGAATTGAAACAACCCCATCTATTTAATGAGAATCATGTTTTGTGATATGGTAAAAAATAATGAAATGATTGGACTAAAAGTAGTGCTTCAACATCAAATCTATATGAACCCCTGAATTTTGAAAGTAAGATTTCTGCTCAGTCCCTCAATTGAGGTACTGAATTTAAATTTGAATTTATAGCAAAATAGTGTGATGAATATAACTAAAAAGGGGCAAGTTAGCTACTGCTCATTAATGTGAAAGTATGTGGAAGTATGTGGTTGTTTGAGAAACAAAAAAAGACTAATATCATAATTTTGAAGGTAAGTTATTAAATTTTACCTTGCAAGATAAACCAGCAATTGACTTCAAAAGGGATTTGGAGATAACAGAGGCAACATCTGCAGGATTTTCTTGAACCATTAGATGACCCAAGCGGGAAAAGTTGACTTCCTTACCATCTTTGTACAAGGATGATTCTTGTCTTGGAACTTCTTTTGAGATTGATTGGCTTGGTTTTGCAAGTACTAGAGAAAGATTGAAAGGAGGTTGTTGGCCATTCTGATAGTAACCAAATAGTCTATGATATGCCTGAAATGTATGGCCATGAGCATCTGAAGCGCACGATGCTTCATGCAGTTTGTTACATTTCAATTTGGTTAAATGGGTTGATTCTAAAGCGTATTTGACGTATCGATGCAAAGCTTGGGGATCCCAAAGACTGAGTGGTCCTCGACGTTCTGTAAACTTTTCAAATGCCACATCAGCATTTTCCCATTGGTCCCTCCGTCGTATAGCTGAATATACGTAATTTGGTAATTGTAAATGTAAATTTTCAAAGGGTGCCATGGCTGGGTCCACAAGGATCACATGATGGAAAATTTCGGGAATTGAAGTTGCTGCCAACGTTGCAGATGTGCCACCCATGGAATGTCCGATGAGTCCCAATTTACGATTGCGCCAGTTGATAGACTGAGGTCTCGGTGGGGAGGATGACTTGTCCAGTCGGAAAAAGGAACTATTTGGGCATTCAAGTTGAGGCAAAACAGTCGGTATGGTCGACCGGGAAGAACTTTGGTCGGGTAAATAAGAAAAAATAAAGTTGAGCACATCGCGTGCCCAATCCGCTAAATCAACTGTGTTCAGATAAAAATTGGGTAATTAGGCATCTGCATTTTACTAATTCTCAGAAACCTCTGTTATCTTTGAATACTAATCGAGCGTGATGTCAGTCTTCGTAGCTTACCGATCAGCCCAAGATTAGAGCGATTGAGGATAGCACTATCACCATACTGGGCACTATCAATGGCCCATATTTCCTGGACTTTCTTAGCAGCTGGGGATACCAGCAAATGTGCCAGCATTGGCTCCCAGGTCTGGAGGAAGGATTTCTGGTGTCAGTGTAGTGTAATTGCGTGCCTCCAACTTGGAACCAACAAAGGAATCCCTCACCTCTTTATGGAGGCCATTCGCATGGACTAGTATCAAAGTAATAGGATCGTCTTCATCGGCAGAAACATTTTTGCTCTCTCCCGAGTCCGATTCGACAAAATAGCGAGCAACTGCTATGAAAAGTTGAGGCTCATCAACCTGGCTACCCTCCACCCTCATTTGAGCTGTTACGTTTCGATTTCTTATGTCTTTACTAATTTCCTCGACATTGAGAGACTTTGGGTATGTGGGAAGAACAGCATTATGAACTGATGATCCATCCCGTGAACGAGGGTACGCTGCAGGATATACGTGTATAGTGCGGGTCCAGCCATCCAGTCTAGTGTCTGGAATGATATCTTTGAACGGTTTTCGAAGTGGTTTGGGAAGCTTGGATAGTGCCAGAGCTGATGGTTCCGCTTGAATTGCCGGGGACAGGGGCAAGAGGTTTGCGTTACGTGGTCTAAGAAAGTATGGCGAGTTGGAGCCTTGCGGTTGGTTCATGGTAGGTAAAATATGACCTAACTCTAGCTGCTAATCTAGCAAACTTTTCAGGTGGGTAGCAAAAGGGATGAGATGATTAATGAGTAATGGGGACAGCGGTTCTTATAATCTTGAAGAAAGGGTCAAAGACCAATTTTTTGCAGTGCAAAATGCCTCAGCCCTACATGTGGACGTAGCCCTCATCCATGAATGTGCGGGGACACACGACATGTTCCGACTGTTGCAAGATAAAAAAATCCTTCCCCTCGTCTTGACGCTCATATAAATATGTACGTCATCCATCAATGATCACGAATCCTTGACAGCATCGATCAAACTGTGAGTGGAGAAACCGGACAAGTTCCAACTGTTGAAAGATACAAAAAACACTCCCCCCGACTTCAAAAGTGCAAAGGATGGTTTCAAAGGATTACGACCCCCTATTTCCTCGATCGAACTGCGCAATGAGACGAAGGTCTCTTCGCACCCAGTGATTGATGTGAATATTGAGATTGCAGGTTCAATCGATCATATGACGATGAGAATGATAGGGGTCCTAGTTATTGTACTAGACAAAGAATTCCTTCTGAGCTAAGACGCATCTGTGATAATGAAGATAGCATCGACCTTACGGGGTCCCTTGCCTCTTCTCAGGGAGAGTTTCAATTTTGTTGCAAAAAATCCCTCCTTTTTTCCTTTTTTCTTCCGTTTTTTTTTTTTTTTTTTTTTTTTTGTTTTTTTTACTTGAATTTGTTTCTATGTATTTCTGCTGGTAATTTCAGAATCTATTCAATTGATGGCAACTGAAGTACACATTTTCTGAGTTTTTTTCTCAATAGAATCAACATACACTCAATCAAGACTGCGGCATGTGATCAGAAACTAATAAAGGTCTACAAAATCAGTGGAGAATGCCAAGTTAGTCCGATGAACCACCTTGGTTGAAAAAGTTTAGAAAATCATGTCATGGTGCAACAGGATGAATCGATGAATATGCATAATAAATTCCTGAAAAGAGGCTTTCAAGTTCTTACAACTTGCCAAATTCATCACAGAGTCCCATATTCACTGAATTGCAAGTGTAGGAGTAGGACAAGGACCTGATTGGCACCACTGTAGTTGGTGCGGGGCCTGGGTACCTTCCACACCCCTGGGTGATTAGGCAGTACCCATAACTTATGTGTAAGTGATGCTACAGATAGCTATTGGTTTTTTTTTCACTTCTGGGAACCTTGCTTGCATATAAAGGCTGCAATGGTTTCTGACAGCTCATGAATTGGAAAAAGTATAGATTTATTTTTGTTTAAAGTGAGGCTGTAGATTTCTTTTTTTTATTCTTAGGGGAAAAAATGACTCTGAAAAACTTTGGTTTCACCAGATGAGAGGTAAAAATCAGCCAAATACAGTTCCAAAACCAGCCACCTAGCTATCAAGTACGTCCCCGCTCTAGTATATCTTAGTCAGCCAGTAGTATGGCCAGGTCAACAGCAGCACTAAAACAAATGTTTCTCAACGTCAAATGGCATCTCACTCAAAAAATATGCACTATATGACAGGTGAAATGAGGCTAAATTTGGAAATCCATTTGAAATATGTTTCAAAACCTTGTAGCACACACAGGGTTCATTACAGCTTTGAAGTTGAAACTGGGTTACATTGAAACAGTGGTCAGTGACAATTGGTTTTACCCATCATGTAGTGAGCATAAATTTTTTTCCTGGTGCTGGCAAATTTCTCGTAATATTATCACAGAAGCTGGTTCCACAATTTCCATGACATGGATCCCAAACATTCTGCCCTTGTCATTCTACCAGTAAATCATATTAATCGGACAGCTGATTAAACTTGTCAAGGGCACATTCACCTGTGTCCACTACACCACCCAGTATGTAGAAAATATGATGTTTCATACAGAATTCTATTGGTTGACATTTCTGTACCATCCATTCAAAGAAACACATACCACATGAAAAACTTGTTCTGATGAACATTTTGCATTGGGAATCAAGGGAAAAACATATCCCCCTTATATCAGTCATTATGCTTGGTGTTTAGTCTGTGTGGTAGATCTGGCATGTTTGGGCACATGTTGGGTGTAAGTTCAAAAGTCCACTTTGCCAAGCCCAAAGAGGTAATGACCAATACACCTGCTTGGAACATAACCAATCCTTTTGAGGTAGGTAATAAGTACTGCTGACTGGCCAATTCCCAATCAGGGGTTTCACTGTCCCAAAAAAGGACCCTGATTCTTGGGTGTATTTCTCCCAGTCCTGCAAAAGTGAGGGAACCAATTCAAATTTCTCAGAATTTCTTGGTTAAGGAATGGGGAAAAATGAAAAAAAAAAAAAAACATTGTAGATATCTGGGGGTTTTCAATGACCAATCAGGTGTCATAGTGCCAATTCATTGGAAGGAGTGTGGCTTCCATTGATTTCCATTTGGTACATTTCATCAAGGGGTATGGTCCCTTCAACTATTGTATGTCTATTAAGCTGATTGTCTGCCCCACTTAATAGGGGGTATCAAATAGGAGAATTCCACCATTAGAAACCAGCAACTTTTCCAAAAATAAAGTCTTGCATAAATAGGTCCCCAGAGGGGGTAGCTGAAGAACCAGCATGTTTGAAAAATGATTTATTTTTTCCAAAACAGTTGATTAAGCACCTATGTATTTGCTTATATTTGACACCCTCTAATGATGTGTTAGCATCAATTTAGTGGAAAAAACTCCACTCAATGACAGCTAAAGTACATAAATCAAGAGAAAGGTTTAATTGCATCAAAGAAGGACTGGAATAGAATCATCTTTATTTTTGAGTGTGTGACCATGTTGTCTGGTTGGTATTGGTGTGAACTATTCATAATAATAATTTGTATGCAGTACTCTAGATTGAGATGATTTTTTAGCATCATTTCATTGATGAATGTGTTCAGAATTTTGTGCAATTGAAATGCAATATAACAAAGGCACCTTTTTAAGATTGCTATGAAATGCACACAGTTGCACGACTTTTTCTTGCAGTGGATGGTATTTTGTGCTACCAAGGAGTGATGTTGTTCCTTTAAGGCTTTGTTTGGCCGTCCATGATTGTCATAAACAATCATGTTGAATATTTTGGGCGGGGACAGCTGATGACGGGGCCTCACAATGGTGTTTGGGAGGCCATGTCATATCCACTCTCTTATGACGGAAATGGCCAACAAGATATATTCCCTGCCAAATCCAAGATTTTGGATCCCCCCCCCCCCCAAAAAAAAAAAAAAACTGTGTCATAAGAGCAATTCCACCGCGGCCCCTATTTTTGGGTCACTAAAACATCGTCTCCAGGAATGCGCAGCAAGCTTTACCGGCTCAAAATGCTGCGGCATACACCGCAAGACGGCAAACAAGTCCTTAAAAATCTATGAAAGGCATGTCCCCGTCAAGGCCCCCTGAATCCCCCGCCAAATGGAAACAACCACACTTTTTTTGCAATGGATCGTCTGGCCGTCATTCGTAATTTCATCAACACTCGAAATTCAATCATATCAACTTCAATCCAGTTGACGCAAGGGATATCAGTAGTTCTTCAAGGCGGGGCAGCAGCAGCTCAAGAAATCCTTTGACAAGAACGTAAAAGAAAACAAAGAAAACCACCAAAACGAGGTGGATCGAGAAAAGGAAGAGCTCCTAATCTGCGCCGAGACTTTGAAGCAGGCTACCAACGATTGCATCAAGACTACTTTGCGGAATCAGCCATTTACACCGACTATCAATTTCACCGACGCTTTAGGATGCAAAGAGGGCTTTTTTTGAAGATTGTTAACGATGTCGAGCAACATGACACCTACTTCACTCACAGGGCCGACGCGTTAGGTAATCTAGGCTTGAGAGGAATCCAAAAAATCGCTGCATCTCTGTGAATATTGGCGTATGGCGGATCACACGATGCAACCGACGAGTATATCCGTATTGGAGAATCGACAGCTTCAAAAAGCCTTTATAAATTTTGCCAATCTGTGATTGACTTGTACAGCGCCGAATATCTTCGATCACCAAATGAGAACGACATCAAAAGATTGTTAGCTACTGGGAGGGAACGAGGCTTTCTGGGCATGCTCGGTTCAATTGATTGCATGCACTGGCATTGGAAAAACTGCCCCACTGCATGGCATGGACATTATGAAGGTAAAGAAAAGGTTGGTTGATTTCTCTTCCCTGCAGCCTCGTTAGCCATGTTCCTCACTTTATATTTGTGTTGAAGGTGCCCACTATCGTCTTGGAAGCAGTCGCATCGTATGATTTGTGGATTTGGCATGCCAGGGTCTCACAACGACATCAATATCTTAGATTCATCACCTGTTTTCACCGATTTGATGAACGGAGTCGCCCTGCCATGCAAATTTAAAGTGAATGGCACAACCTATCACCAAGGATACTACCTTGCTGATGGAATTCACCCAGACTATTCAACACTCGTCAAAACCATTTCACAGCCACAAGGGCTAGAAAGACAGGTATTTAAATTATTATACTCGTTGCAATCATACCAACAACATTAACTGACTGATTCCCTGTAGCATTTTGCAAAGATGCAGGAGGCAGCTCGAAAGGATGTCAAGCGGGCCTTTGGGGTACTTCAAGCGCGATTCGCTATAGTAGCTCGACCAGCGCTGACATGGAGTGTTGAAAAGCTTCATTTAGTAATGAAGACCTGTGTCATCCTCCACAACATGATTGTGGAGGATGAGAGACAGCTAAATATTGATCACATCTACAATACAAACACGGCCAGAGGGAACAGCTCAGCAGAAAATCCCATCGATCCAATTTCTCAATGTCTCCCCGAGTTCTCGACTTTCATCCAAAATATGCAAAGGATCCAAAATCCTGACTTGCACTTTGCTCTCCGAAACGATTTGATTGCCCATTTGTGGGCTCGTAAAGGAAAAGAAATAGCTTTAGGAAATGTAGAATAGTATTTCAAGTATGACCGATTTGACCTTGCAATTTAAACCACACAGAATTGAGAGAATGTCCTTGGAGAAAACCTTGATCCAATCAAGCTTGGATGGTCAGCTGTCATATGATTGACTCTCTGTTTACCTTTTCAATGACAAATGTTGTACACTTTCCATGGTACATTGTCAAAAGACTGCGTCCGAACTGAGTTAGTTTCAGTTTGACTTAAAACTTTAGAAAGAAAAATTTGAACGTGTGTTTTATTTCAAGAGATGAGCGAGTAATGTATTGTTGTATTTCATGAGATGAACAAGTAAGGCGGATCTTGTGAGAGGAAAACAAGTGGCTCTGAAACAAATGAGTCTGACACATCTGCGAGTGAAAAAAATTGCAAGGAAGATAGAAAAAAAATCATATGTTGGTAGATAAACTATTTTTCATGGTTAACCGTTGCAGGAGCTGAAGCTAGAGTCGATGCCGAAGCTGGAGCGGAAGTTGAAGTGGGAGTAGCCATTTCTTGTTCAAGTCGATCTATTATGCGTTTTCGTTGAAGTATGTAGTACTTCTTGACATCATCATCAGCCCCAGTGAGGTCCTTATTCATGATTGCCTCATCTGCAAGGCGTTCAAGGGCAGAGTGTTGAGCAGACATTGCACTCGCTAGTGCAGTATGTTGCTTCTTTGCAACCTCAGCAATATTGATGTGAGCCGTAGCCATCTTTTTAAGATGTTCATGATTCGAGGCATCTAGTTTTTCCTCTTGATAGGCCACCTTTGCCTTTTTCCAACCTATAGGACGAGTCGGTTCGCCACGCGCAGTCCCATCGCCAGAAGCATCCAAAGTCGAGTGGACAGTATCGGCTGAAGTCGAGCTAGGTAATGAGGCCGGCAAAGGGCTCAAGGGATTTGGACTGGGTTTTTTCTTCTGTTCACATTTTTTGGTCATCGCGGCATTGTAGTCATGCCACTTTGGCGCTTTTGATAGGAGATCGTAGCAGGCCATGTACTTGAAGGGTCTCTCTTGAAGCTTGCTGTACATCGTGTGGGCCATGCTGATTCGATTGGCCGCTGTTGTACCGCTTGGGTTCGGGGAATAATGGGGGTTGATAAGCGCACGCCAGCCCCCAAGGCGCATGCCAATCTGCACGCCACTTGCAGATTGGCGTGCAGGCCCACACGCCAAAGCAGATTGGCGTGCAGGCCTGCACACCAATCTGCTGCAAGGTTGATTGGCTTGCAGGTCCTAAACCCATATTAATATGGGTTTAGGACCAGGGCTATCCCATAGGACCCAGGCATGGGTCCTATGGGATAGACTATGTAAATAGTGTTTGAAAAAAAAACGTGTCAATCCTTGTAGGACACCGGCCGGTGTCCTACAAGGTCGACAAGGCCAACCTTGCCGGCCAGGAGGGAATGCCGGCAAGGTTGTTCTACCGCCCGGCCAGGAGGGGTTGTACAGCCT